TCTTTTCCTTCATATACATCTTCGATCTCCTCTCCTTCTTCCCTGCAGTTCTTGTTCTCACACCCTTTCTCTTCTCTCCCCTCAATCTTCTGCCTCTCCGATCACCTCCATCCCACCCTACCACGCCACTATGAGTAAAGGCAAGCTCACAGGCGCTGCTGTCGCCGAACACAACTCCAAGGACTCGTGCTGGGTCATTGTCCATGGAAAGGCCTACGATGTGACCGAATTTCTGCCAGGTATGTAGATAGTCCTCACCACTACTATATGTCTCTGTTACTGACATTATCCAGAGCACCCGGGTGGCCAAAAGATTATCCTCAAGTATGCCGGCAAGGATGCGACCGAGGAGTTCGACCCCATCCACCCGCCCGATACCCTCGACAAATACCTCGATTCTTCCAAGCATCTCGGTGAAGTTGACATGACCACCGTCGAACAAGAGGAGAAGACTGCCGATCCCGAGGAGGAGGCGCGCCAGGAGCGCATCAAGTGCATGCCTTCCTTGGCGGCTTGCTACAACCTGATGGACTTTGAGACCGTTGCCCGCAGCGTGATGAAGAAAACCGCATGGGCCTACTATTCTAGCGGTGCAGACGATGAAATTGTAGGTCATGTCTTATTCGTCCTCCACCAGCATACACTAACCACAAGCCTATCTAGACTATGCGGGAAAACCACTCTGCCTTCCACAAGATTTGGTTCCGCCCCCGGGTTCTCGTTGACGTCGAGCACGTCGATTTCTCCACAACCATGCTCGGTACCAAGGTATCAGTGCCTTTCTACGTGACCGCAACCGCCCTCGGAAAGCTGGGCAACCCAGAGGGTGAAGTCGTGCTCACCCGTGCCGCACACTCCCACGATGTCATCCAGATGATTCCCACATTGGCCTCCTGCTCCTTCGACGAGATCGTCGATGCCCGCCAGGGCGACCAGGTTCAATGGCTCCAGCTTTACGTGAACAAGGACCGCAACATCACCAAACGCATTGTCCAGCACGCCGAAGCCCGCGGCTGCAAGGGTCTCTTCATCACCGTCGATGCCCCTCAACTCGGCCGTCGTGAGAAGGACATGCGGTCCAAGTTCTCCGACGTCGGCTCCAACGTACAGGCCAGCGGCGGTAGCTCCGTCGACCGCTCCCAGGGCGCCGCCCGCGCCATCTCCTCCTTCATCGACCCCGCTCTGTCCTGGAAGGACATCCCCTGGTTCCAATCCATCACCAAGATGCCCATCCTCCTCAAGGGTGTCCAGTGCGTCGAGGATGTCCTCCGCGCCGTCGAAATGGGCGTGCAGGGTGTCGTCCTCTCCAACCACGGCGGTCGCCAGCTCGAGTTTGCCCGCTCCGCCATCGAAGTCCTCGCCGAGGTCATGCCCATCCTCCGCGAGCGCGGCTGGGAGAATAAGATCGAGATCTACATTGACGGCGGGATCCGTCGCGCCACCGACATGCTGAAGGCCCTCTGCCTCGGCGCCAAGGGCGTGGGCATTGGCCGCCCCTTCCTGTACGCCATGTCGGCGTACGGCCAGCCCGGCGTGGAACGCGCCATGCAGCTCCTCAAGGATGAGATGGAGATGAACATGCGTCTGATCGGCGCCACCAAGATCGACGAATTGAACCCGAGTCTGATTGACGTGCGGGGCCTGGTGGGCGGTCATCATGCCACTGTGCCGTCGGATACTCTCACCTCGGGTGCTTATGATCCTCTCCAGGCGCCTCGGTTCAGCGAGAAGGCGAAGCTGTGATTGTTTGCATAGAGCATTTGTGTTTTCGTGTTTCTTGCTCTTTTTCATTGCAGATTTGATACATATACATCACTGCATTTTGTGTATATACTATATACCCCCCGTTTTAGCCTATAAACAAGACTGTACATTTTTGGGTTTGTTTACATATGGAAATTATAGTAGTAAGACATTCGTATTCATGAAACCAGCATCTTGGAATGATTCTCTTAAGTCGGCCGAGTCTCATCCGGCAATTATTTACAATAGATACCATCATCCCTCTGCATCCTTTCTCATCAGTTACTGCAACCACATACCCCAGGCCTCTCACTTCTAGACTCTTCCCTATATACAAGGAAATTCGACATGTCGACATGGAGAATAATACCATATCCCATTACCCCCCACCAAACCACTGAAACCAGTGATGGAGCAACCAACCTACAAAACCACAACCTGCGGCTTATTCCTCAACACCCCAGAATCCCTATACATACAAGCCGCATTAACCACCCACCCCGCATCTCTATTCTCCCCACCCCAAACCCTGGCCCAAACTACCCCCAAAACACCATACATCACCACTCTTGCCGAATCCACCAAGCCCGAGAGATCGAACAGATCGCGGAGGAACCCGAACAGGGAGCTGAACCTCGACAGACGGGCGCGGGATTTCCTCGACGCGCAGAGTCGCTCCCACGCGCGCTGGGCCTCATCGTAGAAGACGCGCTCGATGCCGTAGGCGGCGTGCACGTGGCCGAAGACGTGCAGGGCGGGGCGCACGCGCCAGAGCTCGGAGAGGAGGAACGGGCAGCCGGCGGAGTAGACGGGGGAGAGGTCGAGGCGTGATTGTGGGGGTGTGTGGGTGACGAGGATGTCGGTGGAGAGGGGGATGGTGTTGGACCAGGCGTCGTGGTGTGGGGGGTAGGTGAAGGCGTGTTCGGGGCCGAAGGGCACGATGGCGGGGACTTGGGGCGCGCCGTAGATGGTTAGGGTGCGGGGGCGGAGGGGGGTGGTGCTCGTTATGCTTGAGGTGGTGGTAGGTGGGAAGGTGAGGGTGATGGAGGAGTGTTGGAGGTAGTGGATGTCGTCGTTGTCGCCCCAGTCGATGCGGGGATGAGGGTCGTCGGTTAGGTAGTCGTCTAGGGAGCGGAGGGAGGCGGTTGAGGAGGAGATGGTGGCGTATGTGGAGGAGGAAGTGTTGTTTTGAGGTGAGGCATCGCTGCGGTCTTCGGGGAGACGCGATCGCGGGTCGAAGTAGCTGTCGTGGTTGCCGCAGATGACGACTTTATGCGGGTGAGGGAGACTGCGCAGCCAGTTCACGGCGGCTTGGATTTCGCGGGCGCTGCCATCGTTGCAGAGGTCGCCGGCGTGGATGAGGAGATCGCCGTCGGGGATGTCGGGGTATTCGAGGGTGTGGGTGTCGGAGATGCAGACGACGCGGATGGGACGGGCGTTTGGGGGTGGGAGGTGAGGAGGACCGCGGAGGTGGTTGAGGAGTTGATGGAGAGGATAGATGAGAGTTGCTAGAGGTGATGAGAGGAAGTAGTCGGGGAACGAACGGCGATGGAAGGGGGTGGACATGGTGGAGTTATTTTGGTATTAGGAGGGAGGAGGAAGGAAGTATAGGTGAAGGAGGAGAGAAGAGAAGAATAGTATGTGGTTATTCCATAGTAGTAGTAGTAGTAGTAGTAGTAGTAGTAGTAGTAGTGGTGGTGGTGGTGGTGGTTGTTGGCATAGGTTCAGGTGATTGAAGCAGCTTAACGTGGATTCATGCGCTGCTGGGCGGAGGTGGGGAGTTGCCGGCACCAATCAGAGCATTTGCACTGGCACAGCCAATTTGCTTGGGATCGATTGGGTGGTGGTGGGTTTTTCCCAGGTACAGTTTACGAAGTAATGGAATAGTTCCTGCAATAGTATCTTTTGATAATAATATCTTGTCTTATCGAATTCCCTACAAAAAATATGGAGTAAGATATGGCCCCAACGGTGACGCGTTATCAGTGTCTCAGACGGTAGTATACAAGTCTTAGTCTCGATTTGTAGTACCACAGGGAGGAAATTATTATGGATGTTTCCTGAATCAGTTTCAGGCCATCGAGTCGGATGGGTTGAAGTCAGGTGCAAGGGGACATCACGTGCACGACGGAGGGGGAACAGAAAAAGACAGAAAGACAGAAAAAGACCGAGCCAGCAAAATGAATCATCGACTCCGCAAAAGAAAGCTGGACAAGACGGACACTAAGCAAGTAGTCTCGCATCTTCCTGTCTTTCCTCCTCCGGGACTCGGCTGGAGCAAGGCGATCGGACGCTTATCCACTGGGCCGTGAAAGTGACATCAAGTCTAGATCCTGTGTCCCACTCCAGTCAGACAGAGAGGATGGATTGATTGATTGATGGTACTTTGCCTCTCGCTCGTGTCTCATGCCGGTCGCTATCCCTTCCAGCATCGGTAAATTCCCCCCAGACTGCTGCTCCACGTTTTTCCCTCGATCGCATCCATGCCACGCGCATACTCCTTCATATGTGAAAGTGTCATAAGGTGCCTGAATCCATGTAGGACGAAGTGCGGGTTGTAGTAGTGTCTTGTCTCTGTTTCCGTACCCGTTTATTACACCGTAGCCCGGGCTGGGGATGTAGACAGACAATGAAACCTCTCTCCTCCTTGCCCTCCATCCATCTATCCCTCGGATGACACTGTTTTGTCCCTTTCAACGGTTCAAGTCCATTGTCCAGCCCAAAGAGCATCTCTTCCTAAAGCATGAGGTCCCCCAACGTTGACCGATGTATAAACTCGAGCCTGAAGACTTTACTCAGGCCCAACCGGGTGAATCGATCCATAGCCCATTCATGATTTGCCACATGCGTGGGTGGTCAACAACTAACTCTTCTTCGTCTTCTTCTCTTCATCTACGCTTGCGGACATTCCTTGTCGATCTCCATCATCGATCTTTCACGTCCCTTCTACTATCCATTCCTGTGGTCCTTCTCCTCTATCCTCCCTTTGGACTTCCAACTGGGTGAAATTCAAGGGTTGTGAGATTTACCGGATCTACGAGTAGTGATCAGCCCCTCGTTGCATTGCTCTTCCTGCTCCATCCATCGTGTTCAATCGCCCCGTCTATATCGTTTGCGTCATCCGCCCAGCCCCAGTCATCTGCACTGGTTTCATAGTAGTATTAGGCTTTCATTTCCATGTTCTGGAGTCCATGTTGGCCATTCTTTGAAATTACTCGATTGTGAACACCACCACCATCCTCTCGGTGCACAATCTCCTATACTCTTATCCCCGATTCCCCCTCCTCAGGTGAGTGTCTGCTGCTGCTTCTGGCATTGGCGTTTTTGTGGGCGCTGCTGAACCCAAACCAACCCCTCAGATTCGCACAACCAAAAGCCGGCCAAACCAAACCAGTCCAGCGCCAACCCGCCTTCTCCTCCGCTGTCGCCGCCGCCGGCCACCACCAACTGCATTTACTTACTCCAGCTGAATCCTGTCGCTACGAGACGCCCGCCATCCACTCCTTCGGCTCTGCATCTCCCTTTTTTTGACCCCCAACTTACTTTCCGATCCGAATCGGTCGCAATTCTTTGGCATCATGGATGGGGTTGATATCACCAAGGCCGTTCTCAATAAAGGGAAGCAAATGGCGAGTAGTGTCGCTGCCTCCGCTACCAATGGCAATGGCGGTAAGAAGAGAAGAAAAGGGACCGACTTAAAGCCGATCGTCACCAACGAAGCCGCCACGCTTGGAGTCGACCCAGCGACCACCACCACCACCACATCCTCCACCACTACTGAGGGGTATGGCTTTTACCCTTTCTTTCTTTTTCTAGATTCCTTTTCCCTGCTTGCCCGTGTTTTCTTTGCCCCCTTCCGTCCGCCTTTCTCTTTCTTTTGGTTTTCCCCGCCACATCCTGATTCTTTCTAACCGCCATGAGTGGCAGGGTTCCCGCATACGGCGTCCCACCATCGCGCTCGTCCTCTTCATCCTCTGGCGAAGAACTCGAGACCACCGCAGAGGAAGAGGACTCGGAAGACTACTGCAAGGGTGGTTACCACCCGGTCTCCGTCGGTGAAACCTACAACAATGGTCGATATGTGGTCGTGCGCAAGCTAGGGTGGGGTCACTTTTCGACTGTCTGGTTGTCCCGCGATACCACAACTGGGAAGCATGTCGCCCTCAAGGTCGTCCGTTCCGCTGCCCACTACACCGAAACCGCCATCGATGAAATCAAGCTGTTGAACCGCATCGTCCAAGCCAAACCCGCTCACCCCGGTCGCAAACATGTCGTCAGTCTGCTGGACTCGTTTGAGCACAAGGGCCCCAACGGAGTCCATGTGTGTATGGTGTTTGAAGTGCTGGGAGAAAATTTGCTCGGGTTGATCAAGCGATGGAACCACCGCGGTATTCCCATGGCCTTGGTGAAACAGATCACAAAACAAGTGCTGCTTGGATTGGACTACCTTCATCGGGAATGTGGTATCATCCACACGGATCTGAAGCCGGAGAACGTGCTGATCGAGATCGGCGACGTGGAGCAGATCGTGAAGACATACGTCAAAGAAGAGGCGAAGAAGGAGCAGAAGGAAGACAATCGCAATGGTCGGCGACGGCGCCGGACCCTGATCACTGGGAGTCAACCGCTGCCGAGTCCGCTCAATACCAGCTTCGACTTCAAGCACAGTTCGCAAAACTCCCACAGCAGTCTTAGTCAGATGGTCAGCGAGTCGTCTGGTATGTATCGTCGCCTCATCATTGCTACGAAATTGCTGACTGGTCTAGTGACTCCCAATGCAGAAAGTACATCGATGAAGGAGATGCTCGGAATCAAGGACGATGATGAGAAGCAGAAGCAACGGGAAAAGACTGCGTAGGTTATCTTCTCTTGCGTGAGGGATATGGCTAATGATTACAGTGATTTGCTGGAACGGGAGGTATCGGGCATTTCGCTCGACAAGTCTCAGTCGAGCGAAGAGCAAGAGCCGGAATGTGATATAATCTCCGTGAAAATTGCCGATTTGGGCAATGCCTGCTGGGTCGGCCATCATTTCACCAACGACATCCAAACGCGACAGTACCGTTCGCCGGAAGTGATCCTGGGCTCGAAATGGGGCGCGAGCACAGACATTTGGAGTATGGCTTGCATGGTATGTCCGATAAACCCGGTCGGTCGTGTAGAGTCTAATCAATTGCTGCAGGTATTCGAACTCATCACTGGCGACTATCTTTTCGATCCGCAATCAGGTACCAAGTATGGTAAAGATGACGATCACATCGCGCAGATCATTGAGCTTCTGGGACCGTTCCCGAAGTCTCTCTGTCTCTCGGGCAAGTGGTCGCAGGAGATTTTCAACCGCAAAGGCGAACTGCGCAACATCCACCGGTTACGCCACTGGGCCCTGCCGGATGTGCTGCGGGAGAAGTATCATTTCTCGGTCGAGGAGAGCATGCGCATCAGCGAGTTCCTGCTGCCCATGCTCGAAGTGTCCCCGGAGCGGCGCGCCAATGCCGGCGGCATGGCATCCCATGAATGGATGCGGGATACACCCGGTATGGACGGGATTGATCTGGGCATAACGCCCGGCAGCCGCGGCGAGGGCATTGACGGATGGGCGATGGAAGTGAAACGGAGATAAACAAAAGTACATTTAGGCATGAGGACTCCTGACCACAAGCGTCAGCCGAGTCGGGTGACGAGTTTCCTTGTTTCTGTTACCGTGCGGCGGACCTCTTTATACTCTACTACCATTTCTTTTTGGCTGCGTTGGCCCGTTCACTGGATGTTTATGATTGCCTTGAACATGATGCTTGCATGCGCACTGCCCTCCCCGACCTTTTTCTCTTTCTGTCCGATTTCTCTCTCAACTTTTCCACTTATAGAGTCGCGAGCTTACCATCCTATCCTACTTATTTCCTTGTCCGTGTCTGGTGCCATGTTTGATACATGCTCCCACTGCTGATCTGATGGGGGGAAGCATGGGCCGAAAATGGGATCTATCCGAGGGGAACTGTAGATACTGTGTGCATGAATGGAAGTCACTGTTCACTTGAGAATCCATCTGCGTAGCCTACCTACTACCCTCATCATCATCACTAGTAATTTCACTAGGCAAAACATCCGGAAACCACCCATACCGTCCAAAATCCACATACCACTCCCCCATACTATCCTCCTCCACCTCCACCCCTTCCCCGCGTAACGCTTCCGCCTGTCGCTCCGCACTCCCTGGCTCTCTACAGTACACACACATATCAGTATCGCCAATACACCACCACCTCCGCCCCCCAAAAGATGTCAAAGAGGGAGAGGAAGAGATATGACAGACCGATGCGAAATCATCCCCTTGGAATTAATAACCCTCTGCCAGGGCACATTTCCCGAATGGAAATAGTTGTCTGTTTCTGCGGCGGGGAGATGTTTCAGGCTGATTCCTACTTGGCGGGGGCGCTTCGCTTGATTTCCCCCAGAATAGAATATCATTAATATGTAGATTTAGTAGATGGGAGGATGTGGGATCATACGATATCCTAATAACGTCGCGATATGGCCGTAGGTTGTTACCCTTCCGCGAGGGATCTCTTGTACGGCGGAGTAGACGGCGTTGATGAAGTGGTCGGCTTCGTCGGTGCGGGGCATCTTGCTATTTCATTTCTTTTATTTCATTTATATTATATATGAATGTGGGTGTGTATGTATGAATGAGAGTGGATGAAGGTGGTATATATTACATTCATGCCTAAGGCATAAACTACATCACTGGGGTAAGTTAGTTGCAGTTAGCTAGCTTACCCGGAAAATCCCTCGTCCGATTATCAGATACCGACCTTTCACTTACTCCGTCACTTACCTACCTACCTACCACCCACCCAAATTATACATACACACTGCAAAATGTCCTCCCTAGCAGACTACCTCGCGAAAAACTACCTAAACGCGGACCCTGCGCCCGACCGTCCTAAGAAGAAACGCAAGAAGAACAGCTCCAAACCCACCGACTCCACTCCCACCGGTCTCATCATCGCCGACGACGACCCGCCTGATCTCCGCTCCGCGGGCAACAATCTCCTTAATGATGACGAGGACGCGCCGTCAATAGTCAGTGGTGCTCGGACAGGCGAGTTCCGACGGAAGAAGACCTCCGGGTGGAAGACTCTTACGCCGGGTACTACTGAGCAAGACGCGGCGGATAAGATATTAGCGGATGCGATAGCGGAGAGGGAGGAACGGCGGCGTGAACAAGGGGGTGGTGATGATGATGCGCCGGTTGTGGAGGGGATGGAGGAAGATGACGAGGAAGATGGAGGGGTGAAGATGGAGTCCGGGGCGCGGGCGGGATTACAGACGGCGGCGCAGACGGCGGCGATGGTCGCTGCGCAGGAGAGGAAGAAGAAGGCGGATGCGGCGAAGTATAAGGAGTCAGCGTTGGGGGAGAAGGCGCAGGAGACGATTTATCGTGATGCGAGTGGACGGATTATTAATGTGGCGTTGAAGAGGGCGGAGGCGAGACGGGCGGAGGAGGAGAAGAAGGCGAAGGAGGAGGAGGCCAAGGAGGCGCTGATGGGTGATGTGCAGAGGAGAGAGAGGGAGGAGAGGAAGCAGCAGTTGAGGGATGTGAGGGCTATGCCGTTGGCGAGGACGGCGGAGGATGAGGAGCTGAATGATGAGTTGAAGGGGAAGTTGAGGTGGAATGATCCGGCGGCGCAGTTCTTGACGAGTGTTAAGGAGGGAGGGACGAGTCGGACGGGCAAGCCGTTGTATAAGGGGGGGTTTGCGCCGAATCGGTATGGCATTCGTCCTGGACATCGGTGGGATGGGGTGGATCGGGGGAATGGGTTCGAGAAGGAGTGGTTTTTGGCTAGGAGTCGGAAGGGGAGGTTGGAGGCGCTGGATTATCAGTGGCAGATGGATGAGTAGTGTATTGTATTATGGTATGGTGTTGCTTTGTACTTTGGGATTGGCATCTGGTGCTGGACGCTGGATGGATAGTATTATGGATTGCATGGTGGTGTTTTGCCGGGAAAATATATTGTTTCAATCGTTTACTATGATTGATATTCATGTTCTCTGGTATAGAGGCTCGATCTCGAATGTTATGCCTGAAGCATTAGGGTTTGGTATATACTATCTTTGACACCGCACGAAAGAGGAAAGTTGGAAAGACGTGATCTGACGATATACCTCGGCTATATTGGTGCTTCTATACTGTAAACCTAGCTGCCCCTAATGCATGTTGAGATTATCAGGAAGATAGCCCAGCCAATAACTGCGAGAATATGAATCATAATGAATTGCCTCAACTTGCAGTTTGTCCAACATAGCTCTGGATTATGACACATGCCAAGCAGCGTTTATAAGACCATCAATCCACAAGGCTGTGGACTACTAGGAAGGCATAGTATTCCTTGGTAGGTTACTTTGATGTATCCTACTATGGTAGGTAAGTGTCATAGAAGTCGGAGACCATTCTGGGATCTGCTCTAGACGCCAGGCTATGACTCAACTTGTTCCTGCCAGGCTGAGAGTGGGGTATTGCAACCTAGATCTCGAGGCTGTGTCTCATATTAGTACGTATGTCTTAGCAGGGATGGTATTACGACATCTACTAGGTACTCTGTAGAGGGACATAGCCTTGTATGTGCATTATTACCAGTAGACAGTTGCCAGTATTATACATGGCGTTAATGGAAGTTGAATACTGACACAAAGGAGATAATTACCTAACACAATGCACAATAATCATTAGGATGTTCAGCAATACGAGCCAAGCCAACTACCGAACAGGAAGTATTTCCTTTGTACATCCAGCAAACAACATTCCAGCTGATGTCACAATCTTATTAACTAAGCTGCATACATCACATTACATCCATCGCAAGTGACTGGCGCAGCCATCAAGTCAGCTGCCCACACTAACTACGGTCAGATCGCAGATGGCTTCGGAGCATGGGATCACCCGCTCAGCAGGACAAGCCCCCCGATAACAGGAAATGTCACGGGTAATCACGAGCAGAGGCGATTGGCAGATGCAGGGTTTGATTTACGGCGGCATTTTCCTTGTCCCAGACAGAGACTCCGATCCAGAGGAACCGATCCATTCAGCATGGCAATCAATTACCGTGCCATCCTTGACAAGTGACGTTCCAGATCGACCACAACGTGCCTGAGGCAGTGGATCACATCTCATGCAGTTGGCCCTATTGTTGGAGGGATCCTCCTTTCCCATTCAGCCTTGGAAGAAAGAACCACCGGCAAGTTCCAACTTTCCCGGAGACTGGAATTCTGGTATTTGCGCGTTTAACCTCGGGAATCGACTGAACTACTTAGTGAGAAGCAGACTGAGGGGGCGCTAAACCGTGGGTCGAGAAGTGGCGCTCGGGGGATCGGCAGCAGCAGCAGCAGCAGCAGCAACGATAACAATCCAGGGGGGAATAGTCTAGTAACTGCCGCGCCGGATTGATAGCTGATTTCCCACCCCCTCCGATAGTAGAGATAGTCTTTTTTCCTTGGATTAGTTAATAGCTAGTAGGTTACAGGCTACAGGCTACGATGACGATAGATGATTTCCAACAGATGACCTGCCATAATCAGCATCGCCTCGCGCGGACCCCGTGCTGCCTATTTAGTCTTCCCCCCTCGGAGCGCGTGCGGTTGGAGATAGTTATATCTTCCCCTGGATGACGAGCTCACCCCCAAGGTGTCACTTTGTTGCCTCTTTCCTGTCCTCTTCTCGACTTGTCCAGAGAAGGGTCTCCTTGTCGGATCACTTTATTACTCATTCCCCATCTTTGTGAGAGTCTACTGTGTGCATTTGCCGCTCGACATCCTCGGGTCGTCGATGACTGGAAGCCCAGCCGGGGCCTCTTCATGACTCAGACCAAAGACGCCCTGTAACCTCTCTTGTTTATTGTTTATCGGAGATTTTTGGTTCGCGGGTCTGCCTTAGTATTCAGTCTTTTGTCCACCGCTCTCGCCTCAATTTCCTGGCTTTATATTCCCCCTGTTCCAGACATCCCTCAATAACAGAGGCAAGCGCCACCCATCACCCCGAGTGTGGTTTACCTATTCCGTGTATATATCTGAGACTATCTTCTCCCGCATCCGTCGACACCCAACCATCCTCCCAGTCATGTCTGACACCTTGCTTGATATCCGTCGTGCTGGCGTTGAGGCCAAAAGGGCTCACGACCACAAGGCCAAGTGGGCGTACGGCAGCCGTTCTACCCTGCCTCGTTATAGCCAAGCTGTCCACTCCCATGTCTTGCACAAGGCTAGGCCGAGGTTGCCAGCGACTCATTACACAACGTATGTTTCCGTGCCTGACAAATAGAAATGTCGCTGACAGCCGCTAGCTTGACACGCCAGATGCGGTTCCAGCGAAAGGCTGAAACCAACCATCATCTCAGCGACGCCAAGATCGCCCTGCGCGCTGACGTCCGTGAGGCTCTCGACAGTGGAACGTCGGATTCTTCCAGCGATGATATCGATGAGCCTGCCGCGGCGGAGAAGATTATCGATGACGCTGAGGGGAAGGATACGCTGCGTGACTATGATGTGGCGGGCCAGACTATACTCTCTGATGCTGTGAGCAAGGCTGTCGAGAAGTTCGAGACGAAGGAGACAGAGCGGATTGTCAAGGAGTACGAGATGATCTCTTATGAGGGTGAGACTGCCCTGGGCTACATGGCTGACGACGATGACTTTGAGCTGGTCGATCGGATCAAGCTATGACACGTCTGTTGCTTCCTCTTCTCATTTGTGCTTTTGGCGTCGATATCCCTATCCACAGTCCTTGATTCTGGCGTTGGACACAGACTGATCACTGATTCATTTTGACATTTCTGCATGTTGTACATCACTTCGCGCCTGCTTCCAGTCACTCGTTCTGTTGTGATCGACACGCGGAGGAAGTCCGGGGTTGCTTGTCCTCTTTCTGTTTCTCAGCGTTCATTAATGATCCCCACTGTAGTATTGCTTAGACCGAATATACTATCCCAGCAATGGAATCATGTTTATCATGACAGAAACGACATTTAGTGAACCCTTCTCAAAGGATGAGGGGAGTCTGGTGGGGAATAAAAGGTTAAGCGGGCGCGACCGACGAGTCGCAACGGGAGTCCGGGGTGATGGCCCCCCGCAAATGCCATGCCATTGTGCTAATTGGATTAGTCCCTTAATTGTGCTGTTCGAATGGAAGTAGCCAGCCATTCACTCGATTGGCGATCATAATTACTGACTGTCAGGCTATTAATAGGACAACTGCGACCGTGAGGTGCATCTGGGCGATTGCTGCACGTCACAGTCCAGTACTGTCTGCAGCCGCATGCAATTTAATAACACTTGGATATCAACTTCATTACATTAAGCCCACTTTAAATAAACTAGCTATAAAACAAAAGGAAGATCGTGTATATCACTGCGACTGCCACGGGTGGCATATGGGACTCCAGTCGTTGCTCGGCGGCGAGTCTGGATTGTTTACCAAAACAAAAAAAGACAGGAATCGGAAAAGTCCGCATCTCCGATCTTCCTTCTCATCACCCTTCATTGTCGTCACAACCACTTCATCTCCACCAACCATCTTCATTCTTCATTCACTTCGTCGTCCCTATCCTCAAAGATGGATAAACGAACGGCGGAGAGTCCGATGGACTTTGAATGGCAGACAAGGGCCCCCGGAGATGTGACCTCGCCCTTTTACCAGCTCAGCATGCAGCATGACAATCAGAAGAAACGTGGGTCTTGGATGCAGCTCTCTTGGAGACAAACATTTGTTTATTGGCGCCTAACAAGCTCCTCCACAGGCCCTCATAGCATTTTCGATTCTCCCGAAAAGAAAACGATGCCCGCTCTGCGAGAGCCCAACTCCCAGCCCTTCCTCTTCTCCCAGACCAAGACGCAGCAACCCCCCGCGACTCCGAAGCCGTTCTTCAATCAGTCGGCATTTATGACGCCTCGCAAATTCGATGTCGACTTCTCGTCCGGCGCTGAGAACATGTCTTCCCCCGAACATGCCGACAACGAAGATACCCCCGAGCAACCAAAAGCCCATCGGAACTCGCTGTTTAGCATGTACGGACGGTTTGCGCCGAGCCCGGGGCGCGGCGAGATACCCCGCGTGAGCCACTACTCCAACGCGTTGGCACGACGGGTGCAGAAGAGACGGCGGAGGGACAAGGCGCTGGATCTACAACTACGAAGGGACAGTGACGATGAGAGTGACCGACCAAGCAGCAGTGAGCTCAAGCCAACCAAGCAAAGACAGAAGCCGGGACCAGGCCAGCCGGAGACGACTCAAACGGGATCACGTCTGACTTCATTCTCAGATTTCTTTGCCCTCCTGGAAGCACATCCGAATGTCCCTAGCATTCTTTCTTGGTGGGCGCAGTTGGTGGTGAACCTGTCGTTGTTCTCGCTTGCGGTATATGTGGTCTTTGGGTTTGTGTCAGCGATCCGGGCAGAATTCGAGCAGGCGGCCGAGGAGGTGTCAGATACGATCCTGGCTGAAATGGCGGCATGCGCGAAGAGTTACGTCGACAATCGATGCGCAGGAGGGGATAGACTGCCGGCCTTGGAAAGCGTGTGTGAAAACTGGGAGCGATGCATGAACCGGGATCCGGCCAAGGTCGGGCGGGCTAAGGTGTCGGCGCATACGATGGCAGTAATCATCAACAGCTTTATCGACCCTATCAGCTGGAAGGCGATTGTAGGTTTACCCTCCCCAAAGCAAGTTATCGGCTAATATTGTAGATGTTTTTCCTTGCTACGATTTCGACCGTCACCGTTGTCAGCAACTGGTCCTTCCGTTCTTTCAGGAACCGTCTCAACCAACACGATTACTCTGCGCCCCCTAGCTATTCTCGACAGTCGTCCGCACAGCATCACCCGTCGCTTGCGCCGCCTCAATACCCCTACCAACATAACTCCATTGGATACATGGGAGCGCCGAATCAGGGGGCTACTGGGTTCGAGAAGCCGGACGCGCCGCTCATGCTGGAGCAGGCCACAACCAAAGACTTTGTGTCTGAGCGGACCCGCGAGCGGGAATCTCGTATGCGTACGCCGAGTCCATCCAAGCGGATGAGGTAGGCATCTTCTACACTTTGTGGCATCAGCGGGAGACGGAGTTGCACAGGCACTGCATTGGGCGGACGAAAAGACTGGACTGGAGTTGATTGGATTTTTACTGTTCGTGTATATACGTAATAACATTGACCATGCTGTCACCTACTGGCCGTAATGCCCATTTTACTATACTATGTTTCTATAGGGTCAGATGACCAACAATGACGTCGGCCACGACTGGATGATCACCAGCCACCGCGTCGGCCCAGCTTGACACATCCAACATAACCAGGCAAGATCGCAACATCGTTGCATTAGTAGCGGAGATCAGCCCACGGTCCAGACATGAAATATACAGGGTGCCCCTCCAGGGGGTTGAAATAAGGCATTCATTTGACTCTTTGAGTGCCCCTCTGCCACCCGTGCGGGCCTTGAGTCGTGCCCTCATGCTGACGTATTGCTATTCCGTCGGAGAGATATTATTATACAAACCCCATCGCGCCCTGCTCAGCGCAACATGCAGCTCGAAACATTGCAAGTGAATTTTTTCCCCAATGATCGCGTTGATTTGTTACGAATCAGCCCAATATGACAAAGCGCAACCTCATCGTCGTTTCGAACCGTCTCCCTCTGTCGCTGAAAAAGGTCGACGGGGGATACGAATCCTCCCTTTCCAGTGGAGGTCTCGTCACATCCCTATCAGGATTGACTAAAACGACTACCTTCAGCTGGTTCGGATGGCCAGGTATCGACGTGACCGATGAAAAGGAACAGGGACAAATCCGCCAGAGCTTGGATGAGCATAACGCTGTGCCGATTTTCTTGGATAATGAGTTGGCGAATAATCACTATAATAACTTTTCGAGTGCGATATTACCCAGCTTTTTTTATACCGCCTAAGATGATAAGAAGAGTATGCTAATATTTCTTTCTCTGGTTTAGATGCCATCCTTTGGCCTATCCTGCACTACCAATCCGGCATTAACTTCGAAGACGGTCCCTGGGAAGCTTACCAACGCGTGAACGAGATCTTTGCCGATACGATCGCCGAGGCAGCTAAGCCGGGGTCGTTGATTTGGGTGCACGATTACCATCTTATGCTGCTGCCGCGGCTGTTGAGGGATCGTCTGGCGGGGAAGAATTGCGCGATTGGGTTCTCGCTGCATACGCCGTTCCCAGCGGGAGACTTTTGGCGGGGTCTGCCGGTGCAGAAGGAGTTGTTGAGGGGGTTGCTGGCGAGTGATGTGATTGGATTTCATACGGATGAGTATAAGAGGAATTTTGTGCTTTGCGCGGAGACTCTGTAGGTTGTGTTCCTCTTAGGGTATGGGGGTGTGCTGACAAAATGTATTAGGGCTGATGCGAAGGTAAAAGAGTCAGGGACGTTGGAGTATGAGGGGCATGAGGTGGTTGCGGAGAAGTTCATCGTCGGCATCGATCCGCAGAAGTTTACGGATGCGCTGCAGAATGAGGAAGTGCAGAATCGCATAAGGGAGTTGCAGCGCAGGTATTCGGGGATGAAGGTTATTGTTGGGGTGGATCGGCTGGATTATATCAAGGGACTTGACCAGAAGTTGAAAGGCTATGATGCTTTCTTGGATCAGTATCCGGAGTTGAGCAATAAGGTGGTGCTTATTCAGGTGGCGGTGCCTAGTCGGGAGGATGTGAAGGAATATCAGGATCTAGAGACGGAGTTGAGTACGATGGCTGGGAGGATCAATGGCAAGCACTGTAAGTGACCTATGCTTTGATGTTGGTCCATGATGCTGATGAGTCTAGCTACCGCCGATGGCTGTCCACTGATCTACATGCACCGGTCCGTCAACTTCAGCGAACTGACGGCCTTGTACTCGGTTGCCGATGCCTGCTTACTGACCTCGACGCGGGATGGGATGAACCTGGTTTCGTTCGAGTACGTTGCGTGCCAGGCGCAGCGACATGGAGTGCTCCTGCTATCCGAGTTTGCCGGCGCGGCGTCTTTCATGAAGGAGGGATGTATTACTTTCCATCCGGCGAATATGTCAGAGATGGTTGATGCAATTCATCAAGCGGTCACGATGAATGACGAGGATCGCAAGAGTCGATATGAAACGTTGCGACACTTTATCGAGACAAACACTAGTGCGAAATGGGGCGAGTCTTTCATTGAGACATTGACCAAGCATGTGGACGGCGGGGACTGAACCCTGACACGGATGGTGTCAGAGACCGTTGAAAATGCACACGGCACGTTGAGGACCTTCCGGGTTATCCGGATAAAGGCAGGACTAGAAGATAATTAATGTGTAGTGGATAGCACAAGATCACAAATTGAGAAGACCATAGACACGGCATGTTTCAATCAACCTAGTTTTGTAGACATTCGACGTGATCCTGATCATGATTCTAATTGATTGATGGACTGTTAATCCTAGTGATGAAGACCCTCTCCACCCGGAACCCAATTTTGATCATCCTTTCGGAAGAAAAAGACGGCATTCCAGAAGAACTTTTTCTAGATAACACACATAGTACTCAGTCAAATTCAATCAGTCAATTCCGTCCCTGACGATCCCCCCATCCAACCTCGGCAAAGACACACTCGACCCAAAAACCAGTTCAAACCGACAAGCTTTTCCACCCAACTAAACCAAAACAACGGTTGTGTTGATGATCGTAAACGTGGATGCCTATACCATCAACAAGAATACGAGGGTTAAGAACTTAAGATGGAATTTGAGTTTACAGTGGAAAAGCCACCCGCTACAGGTTAATTAAATCACCCACATACCTGCCCAAGGCAAACCAACCACCCAACCTGTAACAGGACCCTTCCGTGGTCCCTGGATTGGATTGGATATCTAGTTGGATGAACGGACGGACGTCGGATGAACTCCGGAGGAACCCTAACTGGGATGCCTATGAACCCTGGTTTTCCGGGGGACTATTCCCAGCGTAGAAAAGCGGCCGATCCCCTGAAACAGTTTTCCCACTGTTGAGCCCGGGGTATACTTGCTAGTTCGTTGGATAGTGGACTAACTGTGTAGAAAGGGTCTATCTACTAGTCTAGTTAGGTAGTTAGTTCTGTTTCATTTCGACTCATTTTTGCGTCGGACCCTGCTTGCCCTGTCTTGTCTTGCCCAGCACGAGGTATACGGAGTATTCTGGAGGGAGAGAGACTAACCTCGGAATCTTCTTATTTTCACTTAGTAGAACTTACTAGTAGTAAGTGTAGTAATTGATCCATAGAATGGTTAGCTGTATATAAGTATGTAGTAGATCCCCCAGACATACACACACACACACCCAGACAGACTCAAACTCAGTCCACTCTTTCATTCTCACGCCTTCTTTACCACTTACTACCCTAATTTCCAATCACCAAGTCTGCAGCGCAGCACACATTAATTATTCTTCCTCTTTCTTCTCAAAACAAAACAAAAAAAGAATAACAATGGCCCCCCTCAAATCCCTCCTCCTTACCGCCTCCCTAGCCACCCTGGCCATCTCCACCCCACTAGCATCCGACCCTGGATCCCTCTACGCACGCCAATTCGGCACGGGCTCTACAGCCAACGAACTCGAGCAGGGCAGCTGCAAGGATGTGACGTTGATTTTTGCAAGGGGTTCGACTGAGTTGGGGAATATGGTATGCCACCTACCTACCCCATATCCCAATTCCGGAGGAAATGCTACTTACCTCCGATGACAATAAAGAAGGAAAGAAAGAAATAGGAGAGGGCTAGGCTAATATAATAATAATGGGATATATAGGGCACCATAATCGGCCCTCCCCTCTGCGACAGCCTGAAATCCAAACTCGGATCCGACAAAGTCGCCTGTCAGGGTGTCGGCGGACAATACAGCGCCGGACTGGTGCAGAATGCGCTGCCCCAGAACACTGATCCGGGGAGTATCTCTGCCGCGAAGCAGATGTTCGAGGAGGCGAATTCGAAGTGTCCTAATACGAAGATTGTCGCGGGTGGTTATAGGTATTCCTTCCCCAATATACCAATATGATTGCTGCCTGCGGCAAAATGCTAATATAATCCCCTTCGGGGATGGGTATAGTCAAGGAAGCGCCGTAATCGACAACGCCGTCCAAGAAGTCAGCTCGACAGTGAGAGATCAAATCAAGGGTGTGGTGCTCTTCGGGTTCACGAGAAACGTGCAAGACCATGGACAGATCCCGAACTACCCCAAGGATGATGTCAAGGTTTATTGTGCTGTGGGTGATCTCGTCTGTGATGATACGTTGATTGTTACTGCTATGCATTTGACGTATGGGATGGATGCGGGTGATGCGGCGAGCTTTTTGGCCGAGAAGGTTCAGTCGTCGACGAGTACTAGTACTACTTCTAGTTCTAGCTCGGATGCGGCGAGTAGCTCGTCGGCGGCGGGTGGGCTGGCGTCGTTTTTTGGAGGGCTTTAAGTGAGTGAGTGAATTGGGGTGAGATGAGTGGAGATACTGAGTATCCTGGGTCAGGTGTTGTTTGGTTAGTTGATACTATTGATTAGTTATGTTGTACTTAGCTGGAATAAGATTTGGTATATACTATATGTTGTGCTATCGAGTACATCTATCATCTACTGTACAGTTATATTCTCGCAGCTGCTGCTCCCGGAATCCGCAACACTGCCCTCCCACTGACCGCATACCGTCTCATCTTCGCCACGACATCATTAATCTGCTCGAGATCGAACACCTCGTAATGCGTCGATACCTTCCCTGCTCTCGCCATTTCCAACAATGCCTGCATTTCTGTCTCTGTGCCCACCGCGCTACCGAGGATCCGCAGTCCATGGTCCACGCAGTGGTGCGGTGCCACAGGCACATGGAAGTCCGGACGGGGGAAGCCCACGCATACGAGTGTGCCGAGTGGACGGAGAAGAGCAACGCCTTGCTCGTAGGCTTTTTCGGATCCGACGACGATGAGGGCGGCGTGGGCGCCCACGCCGTCGGTTAGAGATTGGATGTTGTGGATTAACTGGTTAGGCATTAGTATATATGTAAAGACGGAAAAGGGGGGGATGTACGTTGTCATCTTTGAAGTCGAAAAAGGCTGATGCACCGGATGCGAGACAGAGGTCTTTCTTGGATGGGCTGAGAGATGTTAGTGCTGTCTGGCAAGAATGGGGAGGAACTTACCTGTCTACTGCAATCATCTTGTATCCCATCTCTTTGCCGATTTGAAGGCCCCTATACACACACACCCATCAGCTATTGTCCGTGATATCGTCACGGAAGACATACAAATGGCCCAGTCCACCACCTGCACCCATAATAACCACCCAATCTCCTTTTTCATACAGCTTTTCTACCTTGCTGAGTGCGCCGTACATAGTGAGACCGGCTGAACCTGTTAGTGGTTATCTTGCTGAGAGAATGAGGATGAAACGCACCACATAGCAACGGCGCGACAGCTTCGGGATTCAGATCCTCTGGAATCAGAGAGACGAAATTTGCGGGAGAGACGACGTATTCTATACCAGTATAAGCTGAATGTATCGTCTTCATATGGGATAACAGATATCTCACGTTGAAATGTCCCAGGAACGTTCTGCCATCACTGCCGTTAGCTTCATCCATGACTAAAAGTCACTGTAAGGAAACCCACCCTCCCCGAATTATCCTGATTCCGACAATTCGTATACTGCACCTTGCACGTCGGACACTTCATGCAAGTCTTATACAGCCATCTAGATAGACACATCATTAGTTCATCCCACCAAAGCGCCGACCTTTAGATCAGGATGATATACTTAACACCAACTCTCCTCCCCATCATCTCAATCGGAGTATCAGGACCAACTACCCCCATCAGCCGCAATTCACATCATGATCCCATTCAACATTCTCACCTCTCACAACCCTCCCCACCCCCTCATGTCCCGGCACATTCGTCGTCATGACCAAGTCCCCATTAATGTTATGCAGATCGGAATGACTATTCATTTCAAAAACTCTATCAGCGCAGTTCTAAAATCGGGGCATTTTCGTGGCTGGCTCCCTACCAAAATCCCGTATACTCCAACTTGACCAAAACCTCCCCCGCTCCCGGCACCGGAACGGGAATATCATGGCGAATAGTGAGGGTCGCGCCCGGGCTGGGATTGTCGACGCAGGCGGCGGTTTGGTGGGTTGGTACGGATGTTGGTGACATTGTATACAGAAAGCAAAAATAGTATGGAAGGGAGGGAACAAGGAATGTGGAAGATAGAGAAGGGATTAATTGATTAATTGAGGGGAAATCTTCAAATTTTTGACTGTGAAGATGCGGGGTGGACCCAGCGAGCGCGGCTTCAGAGTTTGAGGGGAATTTCCGATCCGAGGTCGGATCGAAGATGTCGATCATTAAGATCCCATATAGAATTGGGGGTCGTAATTGGATGTGATTAAGATGTTCATGACTCGTATATTGTTTGTTTGTCGGAATTACGGGTCTACGATGAGGGGATCAAGGTAGAATTACAGTGATGATTGGATTATAATGGCGATAGCTGTGGTGGAGAAGCAAAGTTCAGCAGAGCTAGTCTAGCTTCACTAATCTCATTGCCGAACAGTTATCCGATCTGATAGCTCGACCATTCTGCTCCGTCACCTGCACCTGCTCAATTATTGCCTGCAATTATGCATTTTGCTTTTAATTGGTGTCTGTCTCCCGATCAGCTCATTGACAGATTCGCGACCCTCCCTAGCAAAAACTCTAGCTGGCGATATGCTGCTCCCGGTGCATATTCTGGGATTTCTGTTCCAGTTAGTAACCCGCTTCATCGCATACTGGGATAAGGGGCATACCATGTCCTGAACTGAATACTGTCGAAAATGTCAATCCACGCTCTGTATGTGCCGTTCCCAGCACACCTCCTCCCGATGGTCCACCATACGGCACGAACAACGGCTCCACTGGCTCCCGCTCGAACCCCTGCTTCCCGTTCCAGGTCATATTCTGGATACTGATCAGGGTTCCCTGCGCCAGGAGCTCAAAATCCATCAGGCCGTGCGCGATGATGGTGTTGTTAGTTTGTTCAATGACGCGCGGCAGCGGTCCTAGGGAGCTTGGGGGAGATGTGTCCAGTCCGTCGGCCGTCGGGAAGATTCCATCCTTGCAGACGAAATAGTCTGTTGGGTAAGCGTTGATGGCTTTCTGGACGTCGCTGCGGTTAAAGTAGTTGGTTGGACCCTGGCCGACGACAGGACCCCCGACTGGGTTCCACGGTGTGGGACAGGAGTCGGGGATATGGTAGCGGTTGAAGCATGGGTTGAGAGCTAGCGAGGCGTTGATTATGGTTTCCCAGGTGTTGCAGCTAGCATTATAGGGCACTGATGGCAATTTGGAAAGAGGTGGAAAGGTAAGGGCATCTTCGAGGAACGAAGTATAGCCACAGTCATCAGAGAACTGAGTGATTTGGCTCATGAAGGTGTCATTGAAGGGGAAAAGGGAGCGGTGCTGGTTGACGGTCGCAAGAGCAGGCACTGCATTCAAATTTAGTCGAGTAGATAATAGCCTGTGGCAGGGGCACCATACCATCCTGCAAAACTGACACCTCATTGATGTAGGGATCATTGATCTGGATGCCAGCAACCCAGAAATACTTATCATCATCCTGGTCCAGCATCTGCGAGGCAATATATGGAATATACTGCCCGGCGTAACTCTCGCCGGTGAGATAGATCTTTCGATTCTGCAGATCAAACGTTTTCATGAACCGCCTCCAGAAGTCCATAAACTGTCTTGCGACATCGAATTCCGAGACCACCGTAGATGGACCAAGCGAGAATCCCGTTCCAGCAGGCTGATCAATGTACACAATGTTGGTGAGGTTGTTCCAGGAATAGGGGTTGCGCACGGGTCGGTAGGTGCCAGGTTGCCAGAGGAAGGGACCATTTTCGAGCATGATGCCTGCTAGAGAGCTGCATCCTGGGCCGCCATTCAGCCAGACGGTGATCTGTTTATTAGCCACGAAAGAGAATGAAATGGGGTCAACATACCTCATCGGACGCATTAGGATCGGCAGATGGAAAGAACCAGAAGTATAGGCTCGAGATGCCAGAAGGCGTGTTGGGGAGGTAGCCCGCGTAGGACTCGCCAATGTCGAAATCGACGAAAGGAAGGGCAGACCCATTGACGACGAATTCTAGTGCTGTTAGTGGAATTCGAATTGACGCGATGTGATATACCTTTGGTTTTGTCATTGAGGTACTGAGACTGTGCGTTGACTACCCCAAGTGGCAGCAGAATACTGCACACAAGAGAGAGCCACATGATGTCTGTAACTTTGTGAAATTGAAGATGTAGTGAGAGAGGGACAAGTGAAGTGAGATGAAGAGGTGTAGATGCTCTGCAGGACTACTGCCGATATCTTGGCTATCACAAACCCACTGCTGAAGTGGAGACTACTGGTCATATTGAATACGATCAACACTGGATGCCACCAATAGTATCACACTACATGCAAGGGAGACCTTCCTACTATATTGCTTGCTCGATGAAATAACAGAGCGGTACCTGTTTCAGCAAGATGTTAGGGATTGAGACATGACATCATATGAATGTTGTGGAATGCTGGACTCTGAATGTTGACATCAGGAAGAATTATTACTAATATAGGAGACGAGAGCGACGAGGGAAATGCGTTTACACAGTACACATGCCGTAGCGGACTCAAACGATGAAGACATTAATATAGTTGTCATAATCATTTATTCATGCTATATCGCGGCCTATATACAGCGCCGGCCAATCCTCCCAATCTAAGCGATGAACTTGGCATTACGGAACGCGAGCTCCTTGTCGTTGTTGAGCATCAATTCCATGTATTCTATACCAGTTAGCAGCGTTTCTCGAGGCATACATGGGACACTCACCAGCAAAGTTGATGCTGCCGTCATGGTTGGTGTCAAAGGCCTCCAACTGTTCCCGGGTGAAGTCTGTGCGGCCGGTAGAGTTGACGTGGGCAAGGGCGTCCTCGAAGGTCATACCGCCTGCTGCTGTTAATATCCCATCGACTCATATCTCTGTAGATACTCACGGCAGAAGTCTTGAGCCTAGGTGATAGTTAGAAATGAGCATAATATGGGTGTTGAGGAACACTTACCGACTTCTCGTACTTCTCCCTCAACCCATGGAGGTAGTCATAGGAGTAGTGGGCGTTCTATGAGCATCAGCAGCTGAAGCAATGTTGATGTATGTTCTCCTACCTTAAGGTCCTGAGGCATGGTGGCGGAGAATCGAGGCTTGTAGCTTGTAGATTAGGAAGAGAGATGGAGTTGTAGATGCTAAGAAAGCAGCTGGCTCTTGACGCCTTTTATGTTCTTCGACCTGCCCATTCCATAACATTCTTCCAGTCCGATTTTGCACGATATGCGCGATAGCCATAGCCTGGCTATCACAGACGCATCTGTTGGGTGACCTCATTTGGGCATTGCAACGTACAGCATGCATCGACGCCATTCATCACTATTCGACCAAAGTTGGATAATGCATGTTTCTCTTGATTGAGACGATGTATGGCCTAGGAGATTGGTAGATGGTGACTGCGGGGTACTCCAAGGTAGCTGCATGTAGCAATGCCTGAACCTATCCGCCTGCAGCTGTTGACACCTCCATCTGCCAGAGACGATAACCCGCCAGTGTGGTGTACTGCAGAGGTAAAATTCGATTGTTAAAGCGAAGACAGCGATAAACGGGTGGTATGAGCACCAGACACTGCCACGCTCAAGTTTCGTGAAACCGTAGTGGAAGCCCTTCTGGTTCGGAGGTACGACTATTTCCTGCTGCATACTACACCTAGCTATGTCGGTCACATCAGTCCCTGCACCGTGAACGCCATTGCTATCCCTGTCGATACATTAAAGCAAGCAGACAGCACCTTGATGGAAGCTGGGAGCATGAAAGGAAGCTGCAGCGTAGAATTAGACTTCAGAGCAGCACATCTGGCGTATCAGGTTCATACCTGGGTTCCGAAAGCTTGCAGCTTGCTCCTGCCAGTCGACGTGGATGCCGATCGAGGGGTTGAGGATGGAGGGGCAGTGGGGAGGGGAAGTGGAAGTGGAAGAAGATGCCGCCGACGCGAGGCGAGACACGTTGCAACGCCATCCCACTCACAATGGATGCCCGCCCGATAAGGCTGGCCAGCACATTGCAGCCACTCCTTGGTATAATCCCAGTTTTTGAGAGTCTAGATACACTATGGCCATCGCAACCTCTTCCACATGGGTAGATGATACTCATTGGGGTGGCAGTGCGTGACGTGGATGCACTCTCAAAAATCCCGCATCGCATCGGGTTGCACTCGGACTTGTGAGATAGCTGGGAGAGTTTTGTGGTGCATTCTTCTTGAAAATCAATGCTCCATCAATTATAGTACATACATTTAGAGGTATTCAGAGTTGTCGGATGTCACGTAATAGCTGGTGCTACCATAGTAGTTGGTTTCATGTCTCTACCTCCTTGCTATCGCGAAGCCGGTGATCATTCTGCTGGCTAGCTTCTGGCGAAATATACTACAGAAACATCTCTCGCATGTGCATGTTTGAACAACCTCAACATCAATATCATCTGATTGGCAGCTTACCAGTCTGCGTCCGCCTCGAGAGAAAGGGAACCGCCAAACTCCACATCCATGTCATCTGCTCTGCGGATCCCTTGAGCAAACTCATGATTGAGCCCGCCCACTGGCGCCTCACACTGCGGACAGCGACTTTCTTCCATCGGCATCCCACATTCTCCCACCGCAAACTGGCAATCCAAGTTAGTACTTGACGAGGATTGATGGTGAGATCACATACCGGATGCCCGTTCTCACAGTAGTACCAGTGGCCTGTACCGCTGAATTGTGCCGCCATGGCCTGATACACCTGCCGTCTTTCTTCGCTGGTAACGCAGCTGTAGAATGTTCCGCCCTTAACTAGTCTTCTTGCTTTTTCGATATCTTCGCGGAGAGACCATAGAATTTGAGAATGGCGCAAACAAATGACATCACAGTCTTTCAGCTCTTTCAGTGCCTTTTCCCGTACCTCTTTTTCAGTGGATCCCTCGACAGGGCTACCGCGTGCTTCCTGATTGCTAAGGAACAGCACTGAGAACAGAGCATAATACGTTCGGGACTCTATCTCCTGCTGCAGAAACTTAGCCTTCTGGCAATCCCTCGCCAGAGCTTCACATCGACTCAGTAGACCACCAATCTGATTCGTTACCACTTGGGCCAGAATCATCTTTATGCGTGGGTCAATTCGCTTGTTGCTGTAGATGGTGTCAAAGTTCCAGAAAAGAACCCAGGTGAGTCGAAGTGCGAGAACGTGGCCGCGCGATTGAAACCCGGTTTGGATATACGATTCACTGTATTGGAACGGTGATGCAGGAATGCTAGCCTTCCTCGCTGTTGCTGACGCGAGTATCTCACTGACCCTCCCAAACGGCTGCTCGGATTTTGCCACAGATTTGGTAAACTCCTTGATTTTGCTCAACAGTCTGTTTCCCCTTCCACGATAAGCCTCAACCGAGCGCTTGACCTCGTCAGCACTTCTTGTCCCGACTGACTCCTGCAACCATTCAGATACAAAACCCGATCTTTCGCGCTCGATATCTTTCTCACAGATCTCAACTTCTTCCAGCAGGTGACTAAACTTCAAGCTTGCATGAGTGGCGAACTTCTTCGTTGCTTCATCGAGGAATGCTTGTTTGATGATTCTGTTATAGCGATCGATATCACGAAGTGGTGCACGGCATTGAGGACACCCTTTTGGACGCCCAGACTCCAATAGTCGGTGTGTAAGTTTCGGACCAAGTATCCTGCCTGTAGATGATTCCACTTCATAATGTTCAGACATCCCCATTATGCCGTCCAGTGAGGATGCTGTGTAGAAGTGACCACAGGAGAGGAATACCAATGGATCTTGGTCGATGTCGACATCTTTGTACGCCTTGAGCTCGATGAGATCAACATTCTGCTCCAAAATTTCTGGTCCACAGCATACCCGGCAGAACCGAGGATCTGGACAACGTTCCCCACAGATACCAGGGCATTGATGCCCACAACTTGTGATTATCTTCTTGCATCGTAAATCACAAGGGATGTTGTTGCATGGGACAGCGCAGGGCATGCTGCACTGTTCGCGATGCTCACACCTCCACCCACATGTCTCTGCGCATGGGGGACATGGCTCGTTGCATGTCTTTGCACAACGGCTGTGCCGACAGCGCACTTCGCATGTCAAATTACAAGGCGGGCAGGGCTCACCCTGATGGCATGGTTGGCCACAGCTGTGCGAGCAAGCCGAGAATCCCCGGCCGCATGGGTTTCGGCAACGGCCATGATCAATGTGGTAGGACTCGCCCTCTGTGTATCTACACTGCCAGCATAGACGTCGACATGTATGCCCGCAAGACAGGGGGCTGTCACACAGATGAAAGCAATTCACTGCACCATCATTTTCAAAGCAGCATATCTCGACAATGTGGCCGCAGCGATCCATAGTGCGGGAAACGCGTTTAGTGCACCGCACCTTTTCGAGATTGCCCATTTGCCTGCACTCCACAGCATCCGCTAAATGCCCACAGGGGAGGAGGACATTATGGACCACCTGCAGACATTCCCCACATTGTTCATGACATTTCTTTGGACATGCATGGCCGCATTCTTTCATCCGAGTGCACAGCTCCATACATTTCACTGCTTTGTGTTGTCTTTCTGAGTGACACTTCACAGCACAGGTATGGCCGCAGTCTAGCCTTAGTCCGCATTTTTCCGCACATCCACCTTCAGGGGCATGTATGGTGAAGTCGTTCGGGCAAGAAACGTAAAACCCCTTGGACGGGTGACGATCGCAACGCAACTCGAGACTCCGGCCAATATTAGCGCCTTTTTCCAGTAGCTGAATGACGGATGACCACATGGGTGCGGTTGACGCCGTACTTGCATCGCCAATAATATACATGCCATGTTTTGCACGGCTGGAGACCAAGTCAGCATCTATACAATGAGTATCATCCCTGTGTAATACTTGCCTAAGCAGTACGTTGATCCTGTTTGGCATCTTCAGAAACCCACAATTTCGGTATTTGTTGCTGCGAACAAGGGAGACAATAACGACACTGGCTTCTTCGCCCTGGTAGAAATTGTGTTAAACCTATTATTTGCAGATTTTTGTTATCTCCTACCTGGAAATTGTCGACCGTAGCCAATCGAACGACATCTAGGAGGCTTCCCTTCTGAGTGGCTCTCCGCTTTTCGCACCATTTCCCATGCGCAGTAGAAGTTCCACTAACTTCTAACCCCTCAGATTCAACGAGTTCATCCGAGTCCATTTCACTGATTACTAGTGTCATTTCCTTTTCCAGGACATTTCTGAGCATTTTCAACTGTCCAACATAGGGCGTCAATACGGCAATCTCGCCGGGCCCATACTTGCCTTGTTGACAGAGATGTCGCACCAATGCCGTTACCATCCCAATCTCCCATGTATTCGTCTTGCTTTGCATTGGCTCTGTAGGATCAGTCGGATCTTCCAAGTTATCATGGTCGAGCCAATATAATCTGTGAGCAATGCCAGGTACAAGGGGATATGAGGCCATTGTAGGATGATCTTGGAGCTTCGAATATAAAGTCTCGCGGACCAGTTCAGAAATGGACGGATGCATCCGCCGTTGATGGCTCAACTGCATCACCGGGAAGCTATATTCCTGCTGGTTCTGTCCACCTCCACTAGATGTTGATTCTCCGAACCGGAAATTCGCTAGTCGCTCAAACAACGACTCATCGAGGTTGTACTTTGGGTTTTCCCGTTCATAGTCTATTGATAACCTAAGGTTAGAGATGCGTGGACGTAGCTGCAAGTGATCACCTATCAGAATAGCGTGCTGGATTGAAGGTATTAGCGCAGTGAGGACATGTGATTCGAGAACCCCTGCTGCCTCTTCACATATGAGCACCTTTGCATCGAGGTTTCGGAGTAAATCAGCATTGTTTGCTAGTTGGGTAGTAGTTACGCCTACGACCTGACAGTCGTTCAGGCGTTGCACATCCGAAATGTTGAACGCTGAGGTAT